ATGAACTTTTGAGAAATATTCACCAGAAGCAGACCACCCCTAAAATGCAGAAAATTTCTGGGGCACTTAGGACCATTTTTCAACCGTAGTTTTTAGCCCTTCTGCTCTCATATGAAAGCTCAAAGACCCAGGGAGTTGATCCTGGCAACGATTTATACAATCTCACCATTTTGGGGGCCAAACAATCTCCTTTTTCAAAAGATACTGTGGGTGGCGGCACTTTTAATGCTAATGAGCTGGTCAGAAATTCTCACTTGAATTAGTGGTCTGCACCCCTAACGTCTTGAAACCAAGACTACCTGGTCGGAGGAACAATGGTAAACATTCCAAAAATGCCTGATTACTATAGGTGTACGGAGCGTCAAAAGTGGACAACCTCATTTTCTCATTTTCTGTTAGTAGATTTTGCGATTTTGGACTTTGCCTAAAGCATTTTTAAAATATGCAATTTTCCTCTAAGAGAAATTTGGATTTTACTTTAACAACCTTCGTAGCGCGTCAAAAGTTGTCCACTTTGGACGCGCTACGAAGACATCTTTAAGTAAATTGCCAATTATTGCAAGTAGAAAAGTGAGTTTTCAAAATTGCTATACGCAAATTCCTCAAAGCCTAAAATCTACTAGCAGAAAATAAGAAAATTAGGTTGTCCTCTTTTGACGCTCCATGATGGGTGGCCAAAAGGACCAAAATTAATTTTAACCAAAATAAACAATTACGAGCAAACAGCATTTTCTTATTAAAAATTAGATAATAAAGCACAAAACAAACACTAACATAACAAACAACCTATTAAAAAAACTTAGATAACAAAAATTGAAAATGATATGTCACCAAGATTAATTTCACCAAAATAAACAATTAAGGGCGAACAAAATTTATTTCACAAATAAAGTATTGTGCGATGGAATCAAAATTGGTTAAGAATTTTTCTAATGGTTTACGTTTAACGTCTTTGTTAAAAATTGAAGTGAACTGTTGACCTTCGACAATTTGTTTTCTTTTTTTTTCAGTTATTTCGTATTTTAATTTACTCTTGTCATTTTTGGAACGTTTTGGGGGCATATTGTTTTTAAATGTTGGTTATTTATTTTTTAAATTATTTCTTTCATGAATGTTTTTGTGTTTGTTTTGTGTTTTACGATTTACATTTTGATAAGAAAATGTTTTTCGCATATGATTGTTTATTTTGGGTGAAATTAATTTCAGTGACATATTACTTTTAATTTTTGTTATTTAATTATTTAATTATAGTTTGTTTAGTAAATCAATTTTGGTGTTTGTTTTGTGTTTTATTGTTTAATTGTTTAATGAGAAAATGCTGTTTGCTCGTAATTGTTTATTTTGCTTAAAAAAATTAATTTGGGTCCTTTTAGCTGCCCAGAGTTACTGCCCACAGCGCAGCCAGACAAGTGGGACTAGTAATATCGTAGCAATATTTGTGGTGTTTTCTTTGCAATTAACCACAACTAACGATGCACTGTTTGTAATTTTATTTTATCACTCCAAAACAACAGTTTTTTTCAAGTCTTTCCACAAATTTGGCTAAGACTGGCCAACAACATGTTGACCTGCTCGTCAGGACGGTTAAGTTCACAAAATGCGCTGTTTCATTACTCGGAGTGATCGTGAGATCTCATCAAATACCTTTTTGTGTAGATTCCGTAATAAAAATGATTCAAATAAAACATAATCTCATAAACAGCTTAGGTATGTATTCCTAAAATAAGTTCAGAAGAAAGCGTTCGATAAGGGCAATAACTGCATCACACTTTGGGTACACAGCCTAATAAAAACAACTGCGCAAACATTGAATTTGATGTTGTCAGATTATACCAAGGATATATAATACAAAACTGCTGTAAACTGCTTGCTGACTTCAGTGACCTAAAATACAAATCACAAAATATGGAGGGCCTGACGTTTCGGTCCTAGCAGAATCCTTCTTTGCCTTTGAGAAAGATACTTCTAGGATCGAAAAATCAGCCCCTCGATGTTTTGAATTTATACCAAGCACCAACGATGGCATGAATATTTTATATTAACTTCCTACATTGCATTACACAATTGTGGCGGTGATCATGGGGGTACAAAGGCGGCCTCTGGTTGTGAAACGTGTGGTGCGTAGCAAGCATTCGCTACGCTCTGGCTGTGGCCATACCGGACATGCCAGAAAGCGGTAATTGGCCAGATGTTATAGCCCGGGCAGTTCAAAATCCTTCCGCGTCCGTCTTCCATGATTAAAGGTCAACTTTTTTCCGAGACCTATCCAGGGGCGTGAACCTTTCAATAGTCCGTGACGACGCATGCGCAGTATTTGTTGAGGCGTCAAGGAATTTCATTGTTGTTGGGCAGATAAAGACGACAAATGATTTGTGGCTCAAGGACATGCAGGTGCATTGAACTATCGCTTACGGATACAGCACATGTATTGGCTGGAATATTTGAGGCTCTTCACCTTTTGTACAGGCACATGCACATACAGCCCTTCACGTCGGCTTTGGCGCTAAAACTTTAGTCACAAAAATGTGGCAGTTACTTGGCCTAATACTGGGAGGGGCTTTACTGAAGCTCCTTTTGTCACTTCGGAAGATTATAAACAAACGGAATGCCCTGAAGAAGCTACCCTCTCCACCCGGGGCGCATTGGTTGTATGGCCACGACAAGCAGGGTCCCTTTGACCCGGGCTACAAGTGGCTGATTGACACCGTTGCAGCCTTCCCAAGAGTCTACACTTTGTGGCAAGGACCGGTTCCTATACCCGTAATGGTCCATCCTGAAACCATGAAACCTTTGTTGACAGGCGCAGTGAGCAACATAAAATCTGAATTCTACGACCTGTTTGTTGACTGGTTAGGCAGTGGTTTAGCCACTGCAGAAGGCGCAAAATGGAAGAGAAATCGGCGCCTCTTGACCCGCTCATTTCACTTGGACATCCTACGCACCTACACCCCCGTTTCTAATGACTGCGTGGAGGTACTTCTGGACAAGCTGGGTAGATCTGCAGCCGTAGGCCAAAAATGCGACATATATCGTTACCTTGCCTTATGCACCTATGATGTGATTCTGCGCACGGCCTACTCTTACAAGTCAAACTGCCAGGTAAGGAGGATATACACTCCAGGCGTCATTACTCAACGTTTATTTCCAAATCCTCATGAGATAAACGATGGATAAAACACAAGATTTTCAGTATTTCATCTGGCACATCTGCGGTCTCAGTTCCAATTTATAAAGGTGATTTTTGTCAATTTTATTTTACACGTTTCAGTGAAGGCAAATAATCATAAAGCCTTGAGTAAAGTGTAGTTGTTCAATTTATTTTTTCACAAAATTTTGGCCATTTACTAGCCTGACTCAGGTGCAATTGCGTAACTGCACCAAAGTAGTAAAGAAGAGAATTGAAAGGGAAAGAGAACAAAACGAGGCGCGTTTTTTCGTCACAGTAAATTGGTGGAATAAAAATATTGTGCCATAAATATGAAGGTTTTCGTAATCTTTTGACTTTCAACACAGTCCCAATCTTCAGACTCGAGTTTACTGAATCGTTTATTAACTATTAAGGGACTATATTCTCTCAGAAAGGATTGAATTGAGTTCTTTCATATTTTGCCTCATATCAGGTAGAAGAGATCGGTCAAGACAAAGGAATGGATGTTCTATCGGCTAGTGAAACCATGATGTGGTTTGTCCAGGAACGTATGTTCCGCAATCGACTTCTAATTAATCCTTGGATCTTTCGACTGAGCTCCAACTACGCCAAGTATGAGAGTGCTTGCCAGTATCTCCACAAGTTTTCCCAGAATTTAATCCAGGAGCGAAGGAAAGAAATATCTCACAAGGTAAATGCTATGTAAATTAATGTTAAGACTGCAGCGGGAGAGTTAGAACAGCCTACTAACGAGTGCGGCAAAAAGTCTGCACTCGTATCCAGGTGTGTGTGGGTGTACGTGTATGCCATGCCCAAAATCCGGACATCTCATTTTTGACCGCTGTTGGTCATGTGGGACTCAGTGCGGAAATTTGAGTCCGCATGAAAAAGTGCCACATTTCAGACAAATGGCTCTCGATCTTAGAAATGAAATGATGGATACAAACGATTCATCAGTCTTTTGGACAGTATCACCGATGGCCTGAGGGGAATTCGACAAAAGTGTGACAATTGGGCCCACTTAAGTAAGGTAAAAAACACGGGAAATGACGAAAATGGGTCTGAATGAAAAACAAATTAAGTGAATTTCAAATCTTAAGATGGATAGCTGTGTTAGTCTATCCCAAACAGTATCGAGAGTTTAAGTAGCACTTAAAGACTAACTGAGTAGATAAATGACATAAGTTTTGGTAGTAACAACTACTTCAGCTTATTTATCTACTCAGTTAGTCTTTAACCCTAACACCCTAGGATATATGTAAAATCATATTGAAATTGGAGGAAGTAATAAACTGTTTTGATAATAACAGTTACTAGTCTTTCATTTGGCATCAAAGTTATTTGAAGGTAAACCCGGCAAAATTTTGAAAACTAGACACAAAGTTAGCTGAAAACGATCATTTTTCATAACTTTCCTCTGTCGAAAAAGTGACATTTTCCACTTCTTTGATTAGTTTCTGGAGATCTTTCTTATCAGAATCTATTATATATCAACATTTGATAGATTATTGGCAATCTATTCACACACACGAGGTCTTCAAGGAAAATGGCAGGACAAATCCCTCACCGATATATGTCATCTGCTAGAATATAAGGTTTCAGACCGACGACATTACTGTTGCGCATGGGCAAATACACAAATTAAATGCATGCACAGTCTATAGAGGGATTTCACATTAGCGCCGTCAGCGCATATCCGCATCGAAACAGAGGCTCTCTGTGTTGAGCTTCGTCGCACGCACCCTCTGGAGTCGACACAGTACGTGCAGTATTCGGTTCGTAAGTGTGACGCAACTTCAGTTTAAACCACGCCCACTGCACAAGATACACGACCATTGCAGGTACGTTAGTTCACGGGAAATTACCGTTACTTTGTCTTTAGATTTTACGTGTCGAGTCGTCCTAAAAGACTCTTCCACAAAAATTTGCAGCCTGAAAAGTCTGAATTTAACATACCTTTATGTATTTTGTGTCTTGACTCCTTACTTTCAATCGTCTGATCGTATTAAGAATTGAAGCGGACACATATACAGCCTCGTTTTCAAACGCGGGAGTGCGCATTACAGATCGACGCTGAAAGCGTCGTATTTGGATTCCTCTATGGGGACCGAACATACGTGACAGTCCATTGGGACTTGGCCAGAGGCCGGCTGGAATTTTTCTTTTTTTTCTGGCTCGGGGAAGCCCTGACTTCAAAGTGACTAAAGCAAGCTTTTCAGCATGAACAGAGGTAGGATATGATGGGTGGTGATTTGCATTTGGACGTATTTTTTTTAATTAATGAATTAGCGAATGTGGCCTATTCAGAAGAGGCCACGACCTCTACCCAGACAGTATTGTGCTTTTTTCCATTTTAAAGTGTTTTGACAAATACCTATTGATATTGCAAAAAATTTGCAGAGTACTGTAAAGAAAGATTATTATATAAACCCCCTCTTCATGCAGGTGGATACTGCAGAACCCATAACCAAGCCCCGCGATTTCCTGGACACGCTCATCATGGCCAGAGATGAAGACGGCACCAGATTGACAGTCAAGGAGATGGTAGACGAGGTCAACACTTTCCTATTTGCCGGCCACGAGACCACGGCTACTTCCATGACGTGGTTACTGTACTTTTTGTCTAAGTATCCTGAACATCAGACCAAAATCAGGGAAGAGGTCGACGAGATACTTGCAGACAGAGACTCCGACAGAATTAGTTTGTAAGTTGTTCTCAAACTGCCTGTCAGGGCGAAGTAGGAATAGAAATCCTGTTAAGGGATGGTGCCCTTTTTATAGAAGAAAGTCAAAGTAGATTCCAGGAGCAGGACTAGGGTTTATTTTTTTTGTAATTAGTCATTTAAATTATAAACACCTTCTGCCATACAAATACTTGTTTTGTTTTGGATTGCTCCTGATTCGATTTGGGCCATGACCAAGGCTGTCACTTCGGGTCGGGGGGAGGGGGGTTTCAAGCTCGGTTTGGTTGGGAATAGGTATCGGCCTGGTTTGGTTTCGGTTATCAGGCGCTTCTTTGGCTTTTGATGCTTCTTATGTTCATATGAAAATACAAGCAATCACCTGGGACAGAGTCTGCATGTCAAAAACATGTTGTTAATTCGAAAATTTAGATTTTTTATCACTCCTTTACTCTTGAAAATTTGTCATAGCGAGGACCTTGGCCGTTTTGACTACATGACCATCGCTATAAAGGAGTCTATGCGAATGATGACTGCAGGGCCCTTGTTCATTCGTACCCTGGCTGCTCCATACACGGTAGACGGCTTCACAATCCCCAAGGGAACCATGGTTGGAATCTGCTTCCATCAACTCCACCACAACCCGACTGTCTGGGGTGACGATCACATGGAGTACAAGCCTTCTCGCTTCCTGCCTCAAAATATCGCCAAGATGGACCCTTTCTCCTTTGCGCCGTTCTCCGCTGGGACGAGAAACTGCATTGGTCAGCAGTTCGCCATGAACGAGATGAAGATATTCACGGCCCGTATCCTCAGACGTTTTCGTCTGAGCTTGGTAACAGGGGAACCAGATGTAGTTCCAGCCATGAATCTTGCATCAAAACCCATGAAACCACTGTATATCGACGTTGAACCAACAGATAGGGCGTCTTGAAGGCAGTGGGTAATGTCGAAAGTCGAGCGTGCAGCAAGGGAATTCTTTCATTCCTCCTTTCAAATGAGGTCATGAAAATGGCTGCGCATTTAGGAGTAGTGGGGGGGGCAATCCAGCACAGTTTGACCTTTGCTACAAAAATGGCAAAAGGTTACATTAATATTCATAAGTATAATAATAATATGATATTGATATGAATAGGAATGAGGTGTAGGGTGAGAAATTATATCACAGAATGACCTTTGGTAAGGGATAAGCATAGGATAAGGTCAGAAAGTTTGGTACAGGTTGACCCTGGTGTATGGGATAAAATAGGAACAAGGCCTAGTACAGGGTAAAATATTTGGCACAATTTGACCTTGCTTCTAAAATTAGGGCACAACATGATGAAAGAGGATGAGTCATACAGTGTGTGATGGTATACTGACTGGCCCACCAGGCAATCCTAAGGTAATCAAGGAGTAGGAAGCGATAATCCCTACACAATAGACAGCTCGTGCCGCCCGTTAATGAGAGGGATAATCCCTAGATAATGGACTGTATGTAGTGGCTGAGCTGTGTCGGCAGACTATTGTGTTAATGATTACATTGTCTACGTTGGAAGTGAGGGTTGGTCTGACTTTAAAACCTTTGGACACTAAGGAAGAGAGGGCGCCCATATGCTAGCGGTCTTGGGTTTGGCTTACTATGGCTACCGAGATTTGATCGATACGGGAAGAAGACTCTGTTGTCCCTAGCTGAATGCTTTAATCCTTTGAACTAGAGTGTTTTACGTCCCGTTATCCTGTACATGTATACGTTTCACAAATTCAGTCAGAGCAAATTGGCCTTTTTAGTGCAGGGGGAAGTAAACGCCAAACCTACACAGTCCAATGAGATTACCAATGAGATTTTGAGTTTAAAAAAGGCCACTTTGAACAATAAAAAGAGCATTATTTATACAATGAAAAGAGCAATAAAAAGAACAATTTGAGCAAAAAACAGAGCAATTTGAACAATAAAAACAGCAATTTATACATTAAAAAGACCAATTTATACAATAAACAGTCCAACTGAAAAATATGAAGTTTATTTTGAACAATAAAATAAAAGATCCGTTTGAGCAATGAAAAGAATATATTTTAACAATGAAAAGATCAATTTACACCACAAAAATCAATTTGAACGATAAAAAGAACAATTTGAACAATGAAAAGAGTAATAAAACGAGTAAAAGCTAGAGTAACAAAGCGAGTAAAAGAGCAATACATAGAGCAGTTTTGGCGATAAA